AATGTCTGGTGACCAAAATCCTCTACCTTGTTACTTTTTTTGATTCTCATTCCCCTTTTCCTGGCTTTGCAATCTCACAGTTCATGATGAAGTGGTCAGGCTTGCATTCTCCTTTCTCCAACCTTGGGGCTTCTGCACATGCTGTCCAGTCACCCCGCAATGCTCTCTCTAACACCCTCACCAATCCCCTTTAGCTCAGTTACCTCCTGTAGACCTCAGCCAGACTTTCTTTCCTCATTCGGATCAGGTCGCTGGTGAGGTTCCCAGATTATGCTGTAGTTTTCTTCACAGTAAATTAGCACGGTTTATACACTCCCTTAATTAATGCCTTTCTTTTCCTCTAAATTCCATGTTTCAAGGACGGTGTCTATTGTGCTTACTCCTAAATTCCTAGCCACTTAGCATGGTACTTGAAACAGTTGCTGTTTTTGAATGAATTAAAGAAAGAATGAGTGGTTTGGTGTAGTTCAGTTTTCTTTCCACTCACTTCAAATTTCATTTTCCGTGTCTTATGTACTTTGGGATTATGGCATCCCTTCTTCATGGCCAGCTTTTATTATGTGAATTCATATGTTTTATTGGGCAGTCACATGCTGCTATGTGAAGATCAATAAAGGTGGTTTTATTATTTTGGGAAATGCTTCTCATTTTCAACTAGAGCTGTGCCAGTGTCCTTTGCTTTAATATTTCTGGTTAAAGTTTGCTCTTGCCCTCACAGCATGTCTATTTAATATTTACCTGAATGTTCACCAAGACTGAGTTTCTAAAGTGGTACTGTCTTTTGCCTGTACAACAATGGCACTAGCCTCCTATTCCCTCTTAGGAACTGAATCTTTCTTTTTCATTTTTTCTTTCTTTTAGATACACAGGGCCAAAGGGAGAGCAGCTTGAAAGAAAGTACAAGAGTCCATTAAAATCCGCAAATAACTTATTTTGAGTGCTCATGTATCCTTACAATTAGGCCAGTTCAACTCCTTGAGGGGAACAGAAGCTTTATTTTTCAGCGAACTTTGTATTTTATGAAGTGATTTTCTCACCCTGCCCTATATACTAGCAGAGCAGATGCCAATGGCTGGAAGGTTCTATTAGACCATAGACCCTAAAGGAGACCTCATTGATAAAAATAACACTGCAGTTTCTATCTACCTGTCAATCATTCCAAATGTTAAAAGGACATGACTCTGAATGATGAGGTAATGGATACATCCTTCCATCTGCCTACTTTAGCTTTTGCATCACCTATAATGAATACTACTAGTTTTATACTGGGGAAATACCCAAATAAGCTCTGTTAAATATATCACTTATAAATTCCCACTTTCATAGTCTTATGCTTCAAGAGCCCACCCACTCTTTGTAGCATGGAGCTTGCTTCCCAGACGAGTTGGCGGGAGGCTGTGAGAAGCTACATATTTTACTTTTAGTGTAAAATAAATTATTCTGGTAAAAAAAGTTAAGTGAGGGTAGAACCATCTTCTTGAATTTCATTTGCACAGCAGGCCAGTTCCTCTCCCTTGGGGTTATCTGCAAGAGCAGCCAGCAACAAGATTATTTCTTTCCTCTGACCTCCTATCAGGAAAAAAAAAATTCAACCTCCCTTGGCTGCTGCAACATGTAGTGAATCATAAATTCGTTTGTCTCACACAGTCTTTTGCTTTTAATTTTATTCCTGATTCAAAGTAGTTGGTTGAAGCCAGTGAATCTCAGCCCTGAAATGGTGATACAATATTCGCCCACTTAATTCTTAACAGTTTTATTAATTTTGTTAAATGTATAGCCAGCATTCTAAACAATTATGGTCAAGAAAATAAAAAGGAGCTATTACACTCATTGTAAGCTATCTGATATCTGGGTTACAGACACTTATGCAGCCAAGATTCAATTTGCAGACAATGTACAAATATAGATGATCATAAATCTTACCTTTTAAGTTAATAGGTTTTTCATTTGAACATATTTTCCCATAGAGATATAAGTGGTGTTCAGATTCCAAGATTAATATTAAAAAATAGCCAGTGTTGAGCCAGAAATATAAGAACCAAAAGGACCATAGAGATCTGTGACTTCTACATAAACATTACGTTTTCCCTCACCAGAACTAAAATGCTATCAAAGTGAATCTGAACAATGAAAATGCCATTTTGAAAAATACTGGAAGAATTAAATCACATAAACCTAGTTTCATCGGACATTAAAACACACACATACACACACACAGACACAAACATGCATGCTAATTCTTGGTTTGGACTGGACACTGATCTGCCTCTATTCTTTCCACTGATGAAAGCTAGGCATGATTCTAATATTAACCTTAAAAAATAAAAATTCAGTCTATAGAGTGGCATTCATGGGCATGCATGACTGATACAGGGCAACTTTTCCTCTTTATCTTTGACCTCGTCTCGCCACAAATCCTAAACTCTAACATCCTGGGACTCCTTATTCATGTTTTTTCAAAAAGCAATTTTTCTCCCTATCACCTTCTTCCTTGGGGATCTCATACTCCCCCAGGGTTTTAATACACAGTATAGCCTCTTCACCCAGAATTCCCATTAACTTCGATCTCACTACTGAACTCTGGCTCCGTGTTTCCAAATGCCTGCTGGATTTCTCCTGGATGTTCAAAACAGATTTTAAGAGGCCATGTACAAAACTGAACTGATCGCCATATTTTCTAGCCTGTTTTGCTTCCTTGAATGGTAGCATCATCTTTTCAGACACTCAGGCTTGCAGCTTTGAAGGTGTGCCTCTTTGTGCCTCTCCTACCTAATTAATTCCAAGTCCTACTGATTCAATCACTACAATATGTCTTGCATTTTTTCTTCTTTCCATCAATGATCATAGCTATAACTTTTAGTCTTCAGTTTCTTTCTCTTGAAATTCTGTTTGCCTGCTGATGCCAAAGCAGGCATTTAAATAGACAGTGCTGTACTTGCCATTTCATTGTTCAAAAACGGCAATGGATCTTTATTGAAGTTCACTTTTGGTAGCCTGACATCAAAAATCCTGTTACTTCATCTAAGCTTCCTTTTTTTCAGACTGGCTCTCACTTCCTTCCCTTCCTGTAACATATGTTGCAGCTAAATTGAATTCCTCATGATATCTTGCTTTATACTTTCCACACCTTGTAGTTCATTCTGCTCCTTCACTTGGAATGTCCATTTCTCCTCTCCTAACACACATGTCTAAATTCTGGCTGCTCATCAAGATAAGCACAAATTTTACCTTGTTAGTTGAGCTTTCCTGTGATGTACTGAGTTGAAGGTGATCATCCTTTCCTTGAACTTTGATAGTGCTTTATTTGTTTTTAAACTTAGGCATGTTTATAGCTTTCTAAGTTGTTTCTCCTTTTGTTAATGTCTTTTCGCCCTTATTTGATTGAAGTCAAATATTTTGACTTATTTGTCTCTTAATTTCTCTATACCACTTAGTGGAAGAAACAGGTTCAGCCCTCCTCAAGGAATTCAGCATTGGCAGGAAAGAAAAACACTAATGTGAGTAACTACAAAACATTTAATAATAAGTGCTGAGTGACTGAAGGCATATGGAAACTATTTTTTTATTGGCTTTCTGTGGGGAAGTGAGGACATTATGTAGTCTACATGATATCACATATCTGCATGTAAACTAAACAATTCTGTCACCAGTATTCCCCAAAAGTACAGATGTCAAATATTGCTTAGACAAATAATGAGTGTCTTTTGGTGAAAAAAAAATCCATAGTGAGAGATTTTCTGATAGAAACAATGTTAGCGCAAACATACATTTTGGAAATGTTAATCGAGATTCATTTATTACCTCAAATTGAAAATGATTTAAATTTAGGCTTGTCTCACTTCATTAAGAACTGACAAGCTGTAATGCAAAGTTGACTTTGTCCAGTTATGCTAACTTTGTCTTGTGGGCTGAGTTACAGTCCTAAATATTTCACCTCTTTTTTCTGATAGAGTTTGGGATGGAATGATGGTTTCTTTTGGATTAAAAATAGTTTTACTGCTATGTATAGTTTATAATTTTCTTTTTAATCCTTTAGAATAACAATTTTCAAGTTTTTCATGCATAACATCAATGACTCAATTTTGGCAATCCTTTGGTTCTGATAAATGAAACTTTAGTCATTATTGTGTTCAATTTTTTAAATATAAGATTTAATCTGCACAACAGGTACATATTAGATTGTTTTTACTCAGATTTGACTGAATATTCTTCATTTTTAATTTATAATTTAGGAGTCACATTGGTAGGATTCTCACACACAAAAAATCTGAGTAAGTCTTTAGCAATACTATAAACCTTCTGGAGATTTACAGGACTCCTAGGGCAAAGAATAAACAGAGGCTGTTAATACTGGTACAGAATGTGAATGCTGAACCACCACCAACATCTCTTTTTAGGGTGATGTATTTATTTATGCTAATAAATATATTTGTGTTCATTGAATTCTAGCTCACAACACAAAGCCCTGAATATTCATTAAAAAGCGACAAGATTTCTTGCCTAGCCAGTGAGGCATCGTTAGCTGAATCCTCCCATGAGGTTTATGTTACTTATCAGAAGGTTTGCAGTATATGGGTCAAATTTCTTATTTTGGTCATTTTTTTCATGATAAAAAAACCTGTTTACTGTTTAAAATATGGATACTTCTATTTATTTCCATTAATGTCCAAGATAAGTAATTAATCAGTTTTTAAGTTCTGTTTTGGATGAAAATGCCTTGAAAGATTATTTCCTGATAGCTAGTCTATCAAATGGTCAAGTAATACAAGGAAAAGCTGCACTAATAGACATTTCTACCATAAACTTCTGACTCTTTTTGTTTTAGTTAATGAAATAATGAAACATTTAGTTCAACCTGGCAGAAAACTTTTGGACTAGTCTCTGTAGTTAGCTGAGAAAATATTCCTGTGTTAGATGAAAGAACGTGGGCACATTACAGCACAAGACACAACATATGGAGTTATAATGGGCAATAAATAAAGCAAGAGTAAAAGTATTACCTTAGGGTCATGTATTCCAGAAAGTTCTTCATAGATCTTCTCACCTACCATGACAGCAGCCAAGTTTGCCGTGTATGTAGAGAGGCAAAACATACAGAAAATGGCCCAAAGATTCATTAGAAACCTTCCGGTCCAGCATTTTGGGGGTTTGATGGCAACTGTTCTACCAAACAAGAGGGCATAACAGACATTCAAGGCTGAAGAAAAGGAGAAGACTTTGCTTCTATTCCGCCCTTTGGGAGTCATACCAAAGGGGCTCTTCCATTCATATAGAGTGAGGAAGATGGCAGTGATATGCAGAGCCACAAAAATCCCTAGCCACATTGTCCAGTGGAGTGGCCACATGAAGGCTCCAATGGGAGCTGCTGTGTCTTGGGTCCTCACTAAGATGCCCAAGCTGGTGGAGAAGAAAGGGCTGGTGAAGTCTATCACCTGGCTCCGTGCAGTATTGATGCTGAAGGAAGTGACTGCCATATGAGCGGCTCCACTCAGGAGATCACCCACAAGCCCAGTCCAGTGCCCATTTTTCCAGGCTCCATACTTCCCATCCCCAACAATATAAAGGTCAAAATCAAAGTTCATGTCTTCTGCTAACTTTTCCAGCAGATCAATGCAATATCCATAGCAACACTTCTTGAATTTGATGGGTACTGTATCATTACTGCTATGGAGGCTGCTAAAAAGGCTGTCCAATATGGAAGAGTCATTAGTCATGGGGTCTAGACAGAGTTGGCCAGCAGGGCACAAACCTTCATCATCTACCTCCCTCGTGAAGACAAATGGATGCTCAATCAGGGTAACCACTCTCAAATGTAGTTTGCTTGGGTATTGGAAGTGGGTTTTATGTCTCTGTGCCTGCTCTGGCCATATTCCATAGTCCATGGCAATCTTTCCCCCCTGCCAGCTGCCCAAGCGGGTCCACATTGGCTTTCCCACGGGGTCATGTTGCAGATTCCAGATGAAAAAGTTGTTTTCTGAGCTGATGATGGTGGAACCTTTTACTTTGATGGAACCACTGAGGCCTCTGAAAGTGGTGTTGGCTAGAAACCTGGTAAGAAGGAGCAAAGGCAAAAAGTAAGGAAAAGAAGTGAGGCCAAGGACAAGGAGCAGGGTTCATCTTTGCTTCTCTGTTTTAATAAAAATAAACTTTAATTTTTGTTTCAAAAAGACATTGCCTATAATTTATTCAGAAATTAGTAAGCTGGACTCTTTCTAGGAGTAAAGTCCTATTTCATTGAACTAATGAGATCTCACCCTTAGGTCCTAACACCTTGGCCAGGTACTTGTCTCTTGGTCTTACTCCAAATTTTTTATTTCCTAGTTAAGAGATATGTTAACTATTTTCTGTTGTAAATTGTTAATTATATATAGTCTCACAACTTTTCAAACTATGGAGGTTCTCAGTCTTTCATCTTTAGTATATCTCATTTCTATTTGTGACTACATTCGATTGCAACTAAATTTGTTTAGTAATTTTTTTGTGTGTGCAGGACGTTTTAATAACATATATTTTTACAATTGCTTAAAATTGCATTCATAACATTAGAAAATAGCCAGATCTTGTTATCAATGTTTCTCCTTGTAGAGTGAAATCAATTAACGTATCTGTTCCTGTGAGGCCAGTTGAAGCTGTGTGTTGGATATCATCCATATAACAAAGAAAAAGATGATAAATAAACTTGCAGTTCTCAGGATAACCTCACACTACCCTCCCAATAAGTCATTAGAGAGAAAACAATTGGCCTTGGCTCTAGAAAGAGCTTCCGCCAGAAGTCAAAGAAAGGAAAATAACCAACTAAATGATACACTAATTCCTCATCTGGTGAATGAGGACAACTTCAGTATAGGTTCTGATATGGACTAGAGAAAAAGCTGGGACTGATATGGTTTGGTCATAGTCTCTCTTTTTCTTGAGTCTTAGAAGATAAGATAATAAAAGATAGCATACAAACTTGTGGCACTTTAATGAGGGGCTTGCTTCAGAATAAGAGCCCAGATACACCCACTTCTGAATATTGGCTTAGCCACATGCTAGCATCCTACTTAACAATTTACTTAATTCTCAACTTCAGTTTTGTCATCAGAAAAATGGGAAAAAATAATACTTCCTTTATTACAAGAGTTGGAAACAATTCATGCAAAGCACATGCCACACTTTCTGAAAAGGAACAAATATTCCAGAAATGATAGCTACTATTTAATGTCATTTAAGTTTTTTTCTATCAAGGCTGTTCCCAGGCCACTTTTCCAAGAATTTTATTAGAATTTTTCTAGGTGGATACACAGAGTACTACATTATTATATAGTAGTTACTCAAGACATATTTCAAATGAAAAGGAATTGAATAGAAATGTAGAACATAACATAGTAGGTATTTTGAGAAACCGATGATAGTCTAGGCTCTCAGCAAAACATATTTACCCATAGCCTGTTACAAATATTACTCCATAATTTACAAATGCAAATGGAAGTTATGTTGCCACAGGAGGGACATAGAAAAATCAGAAAAGTGTGAAGTATATTCTAATTTTCATTAGAGATATAAATGTAAATCAAATTTGAAGATGCTACTATCACTAAATGCAATGAAAGTGTTCATTTTGGTAGATTGCGTGTAATGGCAATTATTCATGTTAGTACTTCCCACTGGGACTTTACCACTTAAAGTAAATTCTATTTTACAACAAGTAATGAAGTCTCAGCTATCTTAGACTTTAAAACAGTTTTCTGCTTCTTTAGAGAGGTAAAGAGCCAAACCATTAAACTATACAGATTAATCAGTTGATAATTATCTAGGTGCTATAAGAAAGGAAAGGGTGACTACAGTTGTGTTTTTGATAAGAAATCTACATTTAGGTTTGTTAAAACACACACACACACACATACACACAGTTGCTGATATAATCTAGGAAATGCAATGGTTAGTAGTAAATAGGCTAATTTCTTGTTGTCAATTTAGTGATCAGGAAAGTAAAGAGAAGGTTGTGAAAAGAGGAGCCCTTCATTATTTTATGAATATTAGGATTTTATGATTATAGATTTTTAACTGGATAGACCCTTCAGAAACTACCTCTGACTAAATATATACTTAAACTGTGTTAGAAAAAAAGCATTGGAAATCCTCAAAAATCTTTTAGAGATTATACAACTCCCTAATTCCAGTAAAACCTATTCTTGATTATTGGTGTTAAATAACACTTAAGATGGCCATGACAGAAGGGCAATGCTCATTTGTTTTTGAGAAAGTAATTTGTCAAAGAAGGCAAATCAATAAGGATTTGAATGTCTCCAGCAGCCCTGAAAACCAAGTGCGTGTTTCACTATGCAATTGGCTCCAAAAAATTTGGTTCCAGAGAATCACCATTTATGACAGATTATTTTGCCTGTTTTAATTTTAGTCTTCAATGACAAATTACAATATCCTCACTGAAAGCTTTAAGTTATAGTCACCTTCGCTAATGGAATAATAATGTGTAGCAAAGTCTAAATACTCACTATATCTTCCTTTTATCTTCCTTCTCCTATATTCTTCTTGAATAAACAAGGAAAAATCAGGAAGAGTTTTACAAGCAAGATAAATTGATACAAGTACTGGCCACTGTTCTTAGCACTTGGGTTACAGAGATGAAAAAACAGACTCATTGGTCTGGAAGAGCTCAAAGAATAAAACTAGAGAGAACGAAAGTGAGTGGGTAATTCCAATTCACATAATGAGCATCATAACAGAGGTAAAACTCATACCATTGGAAGAGAGAGCAAGCTCACCTGCACATTCTACTCTCCATGTGCCAAGAAAGGCTTCTTAGAGAAGGAGGTGTCAGAGCTGAGTCTTGAAGAAGGAATTACAGTAAGCCAGGAGGAGAAGCTGGGAAATGATGCTGTCAACCCAGGAAGATGCAAGTACAAAGGACAGAGACAGAGAGTGCAAACTGTGATGATGAGATGAAAAATAAGGCTAGAGATGAGGATGAAAAAGAAATTGCATCAGATCTGAGGCCACAAGGAAGGCAAAGGAGAGTCATTGACAGGATTTTGCCTGGGGAAGGACATCACCAATATATTTGATTTTAGAATGATTTTTTTCCTTCCTAGCTGTATCGAAAATTATTTGGAAGGGGGAAGGAGTTGAAAAAAATTATATATGTGAAGAAAATGCTCTTCCTTCTCTTCCTTGAATCCTCTCTTCTTCTCTGTGCTTGTTTCATAAGGAGCTTAAGATGGCAAGGTCTAAGGTGGCAGCAGAAGGGGACGGGAGATTGTATAATCAAGAGATATTTGGTCTTCAAAAAGGAAAGCAATGATTAACAGGACCGAAAGCACAGGGTTGCACTTAGTTCACAAACCTAAGAACGTGTGAAATGCAGCTTGATGGAAGGTCATACAAATAAAACCTGTAACATTTAGTTGAATATAAACTTAGTGTAAGCCATAGAGCAATGTGGGTATAAAAAAGGAGAAAAGTAATCTTAAGTTCCGCTAATAAAAATCTAGAGCCTAGATCAAAGGGAACAATAATGCTACCATACTCTGTGCTGATCAGATAACTGTTCCAGCCTGAATATGAACTCTAAACAAAGCTTCCAGATTCAGGAATGTTATGAAAAAAGGTAAGAAGATGGAAAATATAAAAGGGGTAGGCAAGCACAGCCATCTGATTGTAGAACAGGGGAGAAAAGTGTTAAAAAAATAATATGGGAATACCAGGTGGCAACTAGACTATAGGGAATTCACACACCTGTTTTATGAGATTGGATTTTATTTTAATAGGAAAAGGGAAGTCATGAAAATTTTGGGGCGGCATAATGATATTAACAATTCTTCTGGAAGCAAGTAAAATGCACATATAGAGAGGGAGAAATGGTGACTGGGAGACCACTTCGAATATTACAATACCTTTGTCATGACATGATAAGGGCCTGGATATCACTCTTTGAGTGGAGACCAAGTTTAGTAGATAGTGAGTATTTAACAAAGCTGTTCAGGTATTCATCTTTTTTAAAAAATCAACAAACCTCCCAAGATACTACTCTGCTTAAAAGAATGAGGCTCATTCGTTAATTTTACTTTATTAAAGCTCCTAATTATGTCACTAATTAAGAATATGTGCTAATTTGTAAATCAGCTGAGATAAAAGCTGCTCTTTGCAAATTATTTAAAAAATGTTTTAAAATAGTTCACTGTATAAACAAGATCAATATTTCATATATTTAAGATATATTTCAAAAGACATATACACACAAAATTTTGACAAACTAATTAAATATTTTCCTGCCTTTTTATTTAAAAAAATGAACACTACATCACCCATTTAATTATTTGTTCATTCCACAATGCTCACTGTGTGCCAGGAACTGTTCTAAGTCCTGAGAATATAGCAGTGAATGTAGACAACAGTGTATGCAGCTTATACTCTATTGAAGAAGACAGAATAAACATGATAAATAGGTAATATGCATCGAATATTATACAGTACTGAGTGCAAAGGAGAAAAAATAAAGCAGAGAAGGCCAGGAACGGTCTCTCTGAGAAGGCGATATTTGAGTAAAGAACGAAGAAAGGAAAGGAGATAGGATGAAGATATCTGGGTAAAGAGCATTCCATGTATAGGGAGCAACAAGTTCAACATCTTTGAAGCAGAATTTTATCAGATATATTTGGGGAGGAGAGGAGAGGAAGGGCCAAGAAAGTTGAAGATGAGGTCAGAGAAAACTACAGGGGAGTAAAATTAGGGGAAAATATAAAAGTGGGTCTTTGTAAAACACTGTTTATTTTTCATGTGAAATGGAAAGACATTTGTGAGTTTTAACAGACAAATGTTATGGTTTGAGTTATGTCTTAAGAGGATTGCCACAGTGCTGCATTGAGAATGGACTAAAGTGAGATGAGGAAAGAAGCGGAAAAGAACAGTTGGGAGACTATTTCAGTTTTGTGAGAGAATCTATAAACATCCAAATGCAGACAGGTAGTTGGATCATCTGGAGTTCAGGAATGAGGTCTATATTGGTGGTACAAATTTGGGAACCACAAGCCTACACATGGTATTTAAGG